GAGAGAGAGAGAGAGATGGAGATAGTCCCCCATTCTAAAGTATCAGTTTCTTAATTACTTCTAAAAATAACTTAAGGGACAAAGGAAAAGCAGAACTTAAGTTCTTCCTCAAAAAATTAAAAAATAAAAAGAAAAAATTGAAAAATTTTCCATTGGGAAAGAGTTTCTGTAAGTTTGTGGCCTTATAATATACAAATAAGGTGCACCTAAAGAATCCACTAGAGAAGAGTATTCTAAAGTTGGAAAACCATCTAGTTAATCATCCCGACCTCGAGATGAATGGATATCAAAAATAAAATAAACAAAAGAATTTTAAGTTTCGAAAAAATAGTGAATATTGTAACTAACGACCTGTAACATTTATTTTCAAGATTTTCAAGTGTTTTTAGATCTACTTGATCCGCACCATTTTTTAAATTTTACATTTTATATTTCCGGCTGAACATGGATGTTTGAGCCATTGTAAGGTTTCTGATACCAGAACTACATATTCCGAAAAAATTAGATGTGCACCATGTAAAATTAAACTCCAGCTTTACAGATTTAAGAAACTAAAAAATATATAAATCTGTGTTGGATCGTTGTTCATGATTACCGAAAAAAAAAGAATATAAATTAATAGATCTAAACATACCTGCCATGATCTAACAAAAAGAAAAAGGCTACTTGTTCTGATCTCTGAATGGGTAGATCGGCCTTCACCTCTTTTCTCCTCCACACTTGATAAAAAACTTCCTTATGGAGAATAAGCAAGAGCCAGGACCGTCACCTTATATCTTTTTTTGTTTTTTAACCCTAACCCATCATAGGTAGTTATCTTTAAAAGAGAGTGGGGGAGATGGTTATAACTAATCCTTATCTTAATATTGGATAACCAACTCACTTAATTATGGACAATATTGCCCTTATATAATCATCGTTAGAACACAAATTAGGAATATTTCTAACATTCTCCTAATTGGGCTCACAATAATTATAACTGAAAATAAATCATCAATTCAAGCAAATACAAAATACTCCTCAAAATCAAGACTTTGACAAGTGAAACTACCAATACCAAATCATGAAGGCTAATCGTATTCCATAAATGACACAATATTGTTCCATGATTATAGTCTTAGCAATCTATAGTCTCCAACATTTAAACCTTTACGGTGGACAAAGACCTTATGATATGGTAAAATCCATATCCCACCTGAAAGCGGTCCAAAACTTTACATCATGTTATCCTTATGTATACATATATCAAAACATGAACTTTGATGCATCAAATATATATAAATCAAACTAAATGAGGGTCACATACTGTATGCTAGCAATATAACTCCCACTAACCAAATGCATCCCAAATGTTTGTTAAACCAATATATGCAACATGCTCTACAAACCATTTGGGACACAAACCCTTGGTCAAGGTAACAATGATCATCAGTTTTGTACTAATGTGCTCAATGAACACTTCCCTTACCTTCTCCCTTACAACATGATATTTAATTTTCATATGCTTGGATATGTCCAAGCTCTTGTTGTTTAAGAGAAGAAAACTGTAACGGAATCATCACAGAAAATTCTTTGTGGCTTGCAAATAGAATCTACAACCTGAAGCCCTGAGATAAAATTCTGTAACCACAAAGCTTGCTTGGTAACCTCACAGCAAGCTGCAAATTTTGCTACTGTAGTCGACGACTCTGGCATGAGACGGCTCCACCAGCCATCATGAAGATATAACCTGATGTCAACTTCTTATCATCTGGATAGACAGCAAAATGTGTAACCGAGTATCCAATCACATCAAGATGATTAGATTTACTTTACGTGAGCATAATGTTCTTTTGTCCCTTGAAGATACCTCATTATTTTCTTAGTCGCTTGCCAAAGTTTTAGCCCTAGGTTACTCTAATATCTAGCCAATATACTGACAACGGAAGCGATATTTGGACAAGTGCAATATTGGGCATCCATTAAACTTTCCACAGCTAATTCATAATGAATATTCCTCATATTCTTCTTTCTAAGTTATTTTTGGGATATTGTAATTTGTGACTTTATCACCCTTAATAATAGGTGTTATACAATGGAGAATAATTTAGCATATTATGCTTCTTGAGCACCCTCTCAATGTATGCCTTTTGTAATAATCCCAAAATGCCTCTAGATCTGTGTCAATGAATTTCTATGCTAATCACACATGAAACTTCACCCAAGTCCTTCATATCAAAGATCTTATATAAAGAATGTTTATTTCATGCAACATATGAATCACTGTTGGGTAGTAGAAGCATCTTCATATAGAACCAAAACAGTGAATTACCTCTCACTAAATTTGCGGTAAATGCATTCGTCCACAAGATTCTCCACAAACCTAAAAGACCCAAAAGTAACAACTTATAGATCATAAATCTAATATCCTTTTAAAAGGGTTACAAAATCTGGCTTCTGCAGGGCATCCCCATACATGCAAATATCTTAAACTAGGCCTCTAGATCTTTAGTATAGCTTTACTATGAACAAGATTCAACATATAAACAATAGTCTTCAGGGCTCCCCGTGGAGAAACATGCAAATTTGAGTTACAAACTATGTTCCTTACTTGACTAATCTCTGAAGCCTTTCTCTTGGGATGTGCCCTAGCCTTCTATGACACAACATAAAAATTCTCATTCATATTTTCATGTTTCACATTACACACACAAATGGATAAAAGGGATTCAACCAGTGTATCAAAAAGCACTAGGTGGGTCCTAGGCAGCCTGGGGGGTCCAGGCCACCCAGCGCCTAGAACCTGGGCGGCTCAGCAGAAATATTTTTTTTTTAGTTTTCTTTCTCTAAAATAGCCTCTAATGGGTTTTAAGTTTTAAATGAACCTAAAACCCACAATTTTGCCTCTTTAGTATTAAAAAAATGACCCAAAAATACCCTCAAGGAGCCGCAGTTCTGCCCTTGGGTGGAGCATAGGCCCTGGGCAGCCGCCTAGGCAGGTTCAGGCGGCCACCCAGGCGGTGGGCGGTCTGCTTTTTGAAACAATGTATTCAACAAAAAACAAAATCCAAATTCAATTTATAGAGGCCGTCACATAATTTTCCTGAACTCACAATACACTTATTATGAAATAAGAAGAACTTTTTATTGTCAAAATTAAATTAAAACTACAAATATCCAATTTCCATACGAGAATAATATTATGCCCGACAGTTGGTACATAAAGAGTATCTTTTAGGTCTACCACAAAACTACCATCTAGAATTAACCTAACTATTCCTATCACCTTTATTTCTTCGTCAACTCCATTTGTCCTCACTAGCCTTCATTCTCATGAATGAGTCTCTGATTGTTCATGAACACTTTTATTTTCCAACCGCTTCTTATATTTGAGGCAATCTTTCTTCAAATGCCCCTTCTTTCTACAAAAGAAGCACTTTCTTTCCTTACAGTCATTTTGTTTCTAAATATGTGTAGTAGTCCATTTTGATGGATAATTTGCATGTGTCCCAAAACCTTTATTAACCTTTATTTCTGATGCTCTAAAGGTTCCTTTTCTGCTTGAGCTAGTCTCTACTCAATGGGAAACTCATCGTTGTTGGAGATGGGAGCGGCAGCGGGATCGGGAGCAGGATCAGGAGCGGGATTTGTTCAGGATTCACCGAACTGCCTTATAGTGGAAGCTCCTTGGGGTTAGGATCGGCGTCCATACAATGAACAAGACAAGGAACGAGATCCTTAGGTTTATGGGAGCGAGATCCCATGTCAATGGGTTCGATGTTTTGACTAGCAGGAATCTAAGATCCACTATACATAAAAATGAGGTTGTCAAGTAGTGCTAGTACGAGTTCTCTTGGTTAAGGAATCGAGGTTTAAGTAATGTCATATAACAAGGTCCCTCTTGTTCTACTATCAAGATTTTTAACTATGTTTGGCATATGCTTTAAGTCCTAAGTATCACTCTCGGGAATGGTTAACTATGCCAACTCCTGGTGGGGAGAAGAGGCTAAAGCCGCACCACAATAAAGAAGTATCAGCGTCTTATCTTGATCTTTCTTCTTCTTGAAATACACATAATGTGAACTTCATTCAAATTTTACTTTTCTTTCTGAGTATTATAAGTGAGATTGAACTAATTATACTGCAGAGGTAAAGAGTTGGGAATGAATGAATTGCACCAGATAACCTTCTAAGATCTCCATGTCCATGGACTTCATGGACTTCAATTGATTTGTGATATCAATCAATTGCATAATATGGTAAGTATCTTCATCATAAGGGTGTTCGTCAGGGCTTTAGTGGGACCTACAAATTGTTGTTGCACCTTGATCATGAAACTCTTAGCATTATCCTCATCAAGAATAGCACCTCGTATAGTTGTACCTATGGGCCCCTTCATAATCATGAGGCTCACCCTGATAGATCTTTCCCGTTTCTCATATTTAGCTTTCTGTTCAGTATTGCTCTCATTGTGGGGTTCAGGAGGTTCATCTTCACGCAACGCTAAATCAAGATCCAAAATGCCTAGAGTGATTTCAATCTTTTGCTTTCAATAAGAGAAGTTAGCTCCATTTAAAGTTTCAATCCCGGCTAAGTTCCGGTAAGTGCAGAGGGATTTAGAGCTGTTATGATTTTAAAACAATTATGCTCACAAAACTATATTTACCCATAAAACTGAGTAATTAACATTTTCTTATTTTAAAATCAAGTACCTTTAGTAAACCAACGCATCATCACAACCCCTCCTTTGGCTCGAGACTATGACATGCAAATGGTCTCCTGTTAATTAACAATCAATCCTTATGCCCACCATAGGGCTAGTTGATTAAAAACATTATGGATATCGAAGATGTTACTCCTTTGGGTTTAACGCCTTCCAAGTCTATAGTACTCACACCAACCGCCCTATTTCGCCAAGTCATACACATAAAAAACCACTTTTGGGTTTGATTTTTATCTGTAAGGGCTCAATGCCAATTTGTGGGCTCCTTGATGATTCCCACTTTTTTTTTTTCTCTTAACAATAAATCGAAACAAATAACAATTATTGGGAATCATCATATATTTTAATACCATCCAAGTTCTCATGATTGAACCGCTTTGGCGGTTACACAATCATTCCTAATTGGTTGGTTTAAAAATAAGGAGCATCCACCCCTTTAAGTTATTAATTATTATCATTATTATTATTATTATTATTGAGTCACACAATGGAAAATTCACGCATGCACTAGATATCATGGGCACACTCACACACAAATCTAAAGAGAGAAACTATTTCTTTGATTTATTAATGATAAAAATAGCATTAAAAATACTCAAGACTCTTTACCATTTTTCTCTTTACCATAAAAGAAATGTATTGGGAATCATCTCCAACAATACAAACAAAGAAAAATTACAACAATACAAGATAGAATAAAATATGTGGTGAAAAGATCACCAAATATGTCATTCTCTAGATGAATTCTCCTCACATCTCTCATTCGCTCGACTCCCCAAAGCCCATCAAAGAGCACCTATGGAGTATGAGAAAACCCCACTTGCTTCCCATAAACCAAACCCAATTTGTCCTTCGCCCCCTGCCATTAATCCTAAACTCCATCAAAGAAAATGGAAACTTTATGACCTTCCATGCAATACTAGGAGAATTAGGATATGGAACAAACTCTACTTCTCCATTATTAGAAACCCTAGCTTCACCCCTGAATCCCAGCTGTTAAAATCCTAATATTGTGGGCTCGTCTCCAAACCAGAGGGAGTAACAAAGTGCTCAGAGGTAGAAATAAATGAAGAGACAGCGAGCTCAAGATCCCAACCATGGGCTTCAAGGATCTCTGTCATAGAGTGAGGTCCTCAACTCTTGTAATGGCTTGGAATAGGTTACTTTTATCACCAATTCCAGGATCCACCATTTCTAAATGGAATAAAGTACTCAAAATCTTAATCGGAAACCCTAACTTGTTAGCAATCTCAAAGACTTGGGTTTCTACTAGAGAGAGTTTGTTCCGGCAAGGGAAAGAACTGGAACAAAAATCAATACCAAGGAAATCAATCCAGATTTGTAGAGAGAGAGAGAGAGCAACAATTTGCCAATCTACACGGTGGTGCAAATCCATATGGCGCTGCATTGCAAACCCATTAAATTCAATGGAATACCACGTTATAGGAGAGAGACGATTTGATTATCCATATGGCGGTGCAATGCAAACCCATTAAATTCAATGGACCAGCAAGTCCCATACACCAGCAAGTACGACCACAAAAAAAAAATTATGTCAAGAGCAGATTTCGATCAAGCTTAAACCACATAAGTGAACACATGCTAAATTACAGGAGGAGAAACTAGAAAACGACCACGCATTCCAGGGATCGAACTTTTTCAAACTCATACATATTTCATAAACGTATTCTCTTGAATAGGCATCCCAACTGGATGCCTCTTATGAAAACTTACTGTTTTCGGTATTCATGAACAAGCCAACCATATCTCTGATACCACATGTAAAATTAAACTACAAATTTTAAAAATTAAAAAAATATATAAATTTGTGTTGGATCATTGTTCATAATTACCAAAAAAAAAAAAGAATGTAAATTAACTAATCTAAACATACCTGCCATGATCTAGAAGCTAGCAAAAATAAAACGGCTACTTGTTCTGATCTCTAAATGGGTAGATAGGCCTTCACCTCTTTTCTCCTCCAAGCTTGATAGGGAGCTTCCTTATGGAGAATGAGCAAGAGCTTGGACGTCATCTTAAATCATTTTCTTTGGTTATCACTAATCCTTATCTTAATATTGGATAGCCAACTCACTTAAACTGTGAACAATATTACCCTCATATAATTACTGTGGTTTTTTTTTTTTTAATAATGTCCCTTATATTATTGTTAGACCACAAATTAGGAACATCTCTAACACACTTTACTTGTATAATATAAGGTGGGGCGCCTTATACAACCAGTCTACCCCCCATTCACTGACATCCAAACCCCAATAATAATAAAAGAATATAAATCTCAGTAAACAGCAGAATTTAGTGAAGCATATTCAGGTACAAATCCTAATCCTAATGCCATCAGATGAATATCATAAAAATGAAATCATGCAAAGTTTGCGCACCTTAACCATAATTCAAACACATAAATCTGAAATTAAATAAATAATTTAAAATGGAACCATGCAAGCATTTCTCACACATATTTATATCCAACCCTACCCCAAAATTCTAAGAAAACAAACCAATACCTCTCTGCCGCGAAAGCCAGAGCTTCATCTGAGCAATGCCTGATTCGAATCTCTTTGAGGCCACCGCAGCTCCACGAAGCAACCGAGCGAACCATGGAATCGATCTTCTTCTCAAACTGTGGACTCCACCATGAAATGGTATAGTTCCTGTCTTTGAAGAAGGGCTCTAGGTCTAGGGTTTCGAAGAAAGAAGGGTCCTTACAAGCTGAGAACCAAGACTTGCAAACAAGCATGGGACCCGTCCATCTCTCCTCAAAAGTAAGCTTAGAGAATATATCTATGAGGCAAACCAGTGTGAGATTGGACCAGTTAGACTTTCGATTTTCGCGCTCTGAATCCATGAAAATGGAGCTTTCTCACTCGTCTCTGTCCCACCCTTTTCTCTTTCTGTGGCTTTAGACACTGCGTCTATAAGTAAGGCAACGCCTTCTTTACCCAGAGGAGGCAGGCCACGATATAATTATGATCCATATGGACATGGTAACAGTCATGACGCATGAGCTTATCACTGTCGGACTAACTAGTCGAACGGTCAAAAAGAGAGAGAGCCTAGGGACAAGCCATTCACTCAAAACGTATGATTCGATAATTTTACGGAACATAGACACGCGTATCTAATATGTTGACATGTGTTGGCACTTATAAGACCGGTTCCTTGTTTGTGACGCTTAAAGATTCTATATTTTTATTTTTTTTAGTATGAAAATCTTTTACATAAATCCCTACCTCTCGGTGTAGATGGTCACAGGTCATGTTTGAACGGCAAAATTTAACGCTCATGTTTCTAGACACACTTAAAGCCTCGACACTTTTGTTTTTTTTAGTACTAAGATCTTTAACATAAATCGCTACCTCCCAACGCGGATGGTGTACAAATCATGTTTGAAAGGCAAAATTTGACGCTCATGTTTCTAAACTAACACTTACATATTTGCCCTTTAACATAAATCCCTACTTCTCAACGCAGATGATGTACAGGTCATGTTTGAAAGGCAAAATTTAACGTTCATATTTTTAAATTAACACTCATATTTGCCCTCGTAACATGGTAGATAAGCCCTTTCCTTTTTTGATTTACATATTATGTTGTAATTTGTGTTGCTAATAGCCCCATCACTTGATCCATTGGATATTCTCAATGGAGGGTTGGGAAAGAGCAAGGAGACTAGGGGAGAACCAATTGAGAATATATGCTATGCTTCTTATCTTGTGTAGAATCACTATTTGAAAGTATATGGAAGTTCATCTACATTATGGCGAAAGAAATGAGGTTACAATCATCCATCACCATCAAAGGTGAAATTTGATAGCTTGGAATACCACAAAATTCAAAAACTTCCTTCATCCTTTAGAGCCTTTCAAACATAGACTTTCGGTCACTCCATTTCGCATCCAAGGGCATAGTGTGATTGTCGCCTTCTTCTACCAAAGATAAATGACCTCACGACATCTAGAGTTCTACTCTTAGCAAGTCCCAAATAATCATTCAAGAAAAAATAAACAATAAAAAATAAACATAAATAATAAAAATCAACCAAGGAGAAATTGCTTATATGAATTGTTGTACATGACATGTAATAAAATGCAAGAATAGCATATTTCCTTTTATGGTTAAGTAGCTTGGTGGTGGATTCCACAATGTGCCAGAGTTCCAATATCCCAAGTTTCAAGTTAACCGTAGAAAATAATAATAACATCATCGTGGCATCCAGAGTTCCATTGTCATTGAGTCTCAAAATAATATTTAGAAAAACAAAAAAATGAAAAAAAAAAAATATATATATATATATATATATATATATCAATGAAGGAATAATTGCCTATAGAAATTGGGAAAAGTTTATATAAGGTGTCAATTTTGTACTTCCTATACTAGGAAACCCTTAAATCTGTCAACTCGACCTCGAGATTCATAAACATGGAAAAAAAAAGGGGATTTCTAATTCTAAAAATAACTTATTTTCTAACACAATATTTGGGCCGTCTATTTTCAAGATATTTTAAGTGTTTATTGAAAGAAAGACCTATGTGATCATTTACCAAGGAATACATTTTTTGTTTTTTCTTTTTCTTTTTGGCAAAAGATCACTTACAGGTGGTCTTTATTATAATAAGATAAATTTCAAAATAAAATCAACATAACAATAAAACCAAGATCTTATCAACTTGATGCCATTGAAACAACTATACAATATGCTTGAGAATAAAAGACAAGATTGCAAGAAACAAAAGGAAGAGTGTCGGAGATTACCTCAATCAGACTTATTACACCCCACACCGAGTCACCACCATCCGATGGCCCTGGATCAACGGTCTAGCTTCAATTTCGAACTGAGAAAGCAAATTTCAGCCAAGCCACACCAATAGAACATGAACCCCTTTGATCACAAATTCAAACCTTAGGTGAATTCTCTTAACAACCTTGTTTAAGAGAGATGAATTCTTTTTTTTCTAAACCCTAAAACCCGTAGCCGTAAATCCATATTTGAGAGATAAGAGAGAATAACTCCATAACCTAAACCCTTAGGTTCTTTTACAATGTGGAAAGAGAGATCAAGCATGAGAGAGTTAAACTTTCTTAAGAGAGAGAGGTAGAAAGATAAGGTGTAGAGATTTTTTTGGTAGAGACAATCCATTTTTATAGGCTTTAAATAAGATTAGGGTTTCTTAGGGTTTTTTTGGCTTGCCTTTTCTTGTGAGATTGGATATAGAACGTCGATCAAGGGTGACTTGTGTGGTGAGAGATCTGAGCCATCAATTCCATAACTATCAACATTATGGAAGGTGCATGAACCATTATCCCCCTTTCTTAAACCATTTTCTCATCAATATATTTAAATAAAATAAATATCATGCATTCTATAAAATTGCACGATCCATGTCACATATTCCACAAAGATATGTCAAATAATATCAAGTAGATAAATACTACCAAATATAAATAAGATAAGATCCATATCAATTCAAATTGACCATATCTCTTTAAAACAAACTTGTTATAAAATAGATAAAGTCACTGTCAATATATCCCTTCCAAGATTTGACCACGTGTCACAAATCAAACTAACATTATCTTAAAAGCAAACAAGAGAATCCAAAGAGGGTGGGGCATGCCACCCTTTTTTGGCAAATGTGGGCCCCTACCCACATGCCACATGGTGGGCTCATGTGCACTATGGGCCCCCATAGAATATTATAAAAAAATATTATTTTTAAAATTGAATAAAACAATTTAAAATATATATTTGAATTTTTATAACTTTGTAAGAACAATAACTGTATTTTTATAAATCCAAAAATCACAAATAAAATATTGAGAGATTTATAAAAATTCAAATAATAAAACTAAAATCGTTTCAATAATAAAATGGACACAATTAAATTAATATGATGGGAAAAGGATCCATATGGTTTTAAGAATCCAATATGTAATAACATGGTACTCCACCTTCAACTGTGGACTACATACCACAGTAGCTTTATCGAACCGACCTAGTATTTTCCATGACCCACAGTCTAAGCGGGTCACCAAAGTCAGGTTGATTAATCAAGGGGTTGCAATCTCGGTCTGTGGATTACAAGTCCTCCCCTCGAGACGAGTCAAGGTCACCACGACCTGATGCCGCCACAGCTCTATGGCGCATAGGGGTATCTCTCGCACATGCATACGCTTCACCCAAATGTGGATATCTGGTTGTTCCGAACGATCTATCAATATGCATGCCGTGTGACGGTACATGGATGAGGATTTGACCCTCGTCTCTCTAGGCTACCATCACACACGAGGGTCACACAGTCCCTTGACGCACTCATCCGGGCATGTTCTCCGACCTCATCAAGGGCTAACCCATAAACCCTCATCGGTTTGTTCTTCATGCTCAGGTAACATGGGTTTTTCTCAACCGACTGGCATAGATCGTTAAGCACAAATCGGTATCAGTAAACCATCGTTTGCTTAGTACACACTCCTACTGAGTTCATGTTCCACTATATCATTTCATTTTACAAGCACTCACAAGGCCTTTAAAGGCCACATAAACCCAACATCTCTCACTTGGCCTTTGAAGGCCTTACATTATCTCTTTCTCACTTTCACTCATTCCTATCTCTCTCTCTCCTAATTACAATATCTCTCAAGCATTTTTACTTATTCTCTCAATACACTAATCATGGCTTTCGCCATCAATCCTTTCACAAAAGGATATATAGAGGCAACACATTTTTCTCTTTGTGCTCGGATCTCATCCAAAAAATAGTTGTAGCTCATCTTTCATATCGTATCGTGAAATCATGGACATATTGTCGTAAAAGACCATCACGTACCCTCATCGTATGGGGTCTTATGTTCATGGGCTCAAAAGAGTTCTTCAAATAAGCTGCTCTCTTTTGTAGCCATACAACCAGTACCAAACATTTGGGTTCCATGGGTGAACAATATTATAGTCTGTTGTTCCATTTGGCATGTCAAATACAAGCAAGTGCTCCCACTTGAATATTTAATTTATATGGATCTCGATCATTCTCAATCTCACCTCATTCCTTAGGTGATGAAAACATGGTTTTATATGCTTGGAGTTCTTATGGAATCGTGGCTCCTTTGACAAGCATATCGTCACTGTGCTGTCGGAGAAAATTCTTAGTGCCTCACAACGTACGAGGTGAAAGTCAAGTCGATTAATAAATTTCTTTATCCATACGGCCTCCTCAATCGCCAAACAGCACGCCACGTACTCTGCCTTCATGGTGGACAATTTCGACACATCATGTTTCTTTGATTTCTAAGAAACTGTACCCCCTCCAAGCATGAACACATTTTTAAATGTAGACTTCGCATCATCTGGATATGTGGAGATAACTTGTTCCTGTATATCTGAATATCCAAGCAGCTAAAAAAATGTGGGACTGTAGCAGCTCCCACTCAAATTATTGCACATACAACGTATACATTTTCAACATTCTTATGCAAATATCATAAGGTAGCATATCAAGTCTTATGCAATATGTAATTCAATATCCGTTGGTTACACAATATGCAAAACCTTCATGAACCGCAAAGGTTCAACCACTATAGACATCTTGGTAGTAAATTCATATAAACCAAGTTATCTAATCAACACAACATGTGTTAGGGAAGCCCATCATGATGTCATTCCTCTAACATTTCATATGGTTCAAAGTCTTAGGTAATCGAAGATTCTAAATAACTAAAAGCATGGGTCAAAGCATATAGGTATTTTAAAAAAAATACATGATAATTTTTCTCCCACTTTTATAAATACCTTCAAGACACATTGTTTTTCTTTTTAATAAATATTTTTTTTTGTACTTAGTATAT